ACACACACACACACACACACACACACACACACACACACACACACACACACACACACACACACACACACACACACACACACACACACACACACACACACACACACACACACACACACACACACACACACACACACACACACACACACACACGCAGACAAACGTAAACAACCCTTAGCCCGTTATTATAAGTTACCAGTGCATCACCTCCGCTTCGCGGAGGTTCGCACTGGCACTCCTATCCATATGCCTTTCTCATGTTCGCATAATGATGACTTTGAAACTTACCGCGCGATGCTGAACATCATAAATGAATTGTAAACAACTGCTCATTCTCAAAGCATCTCCACGTAATGTCGGTAATTTTGAGAAAGAATTTTTTTTCGCAAAGGAACACCTGCAAATTCGAATGAATTACCGAATTTATTTTGGCTTGGTAGTCATCATAAGGCTAGTAGTCACTTTGGGCTACATTTCCGTGCAAAAATCTTTTCAAGTTTGAAGTTAAAACCTTGCCAAATCGACTATCTACGCGATCACTACTTTTTGGCGCTGTTTTCGCAGAAAAGCAAACTTTTTGAGCATTTTTCGGGGTTAGAATTCATGAGGCGCAGATTTACTTGTCAGGCAAATCATGGCTTTGCAAAAAATTCAAATCTGGACTCAGTTTTGCCTGCTTAGAGCCGTGTGGATCCGCTTGACGCACTATTTTTGTGACATCAACGCAATGGATCCGTACGAAATTTTGCATGATGGGCCTAGATGCTGGCAAGGTGCTATGACCAAAACTTCAGCCCAAGACATTTGCTGGAACTCGTTGTATGAATTTCGTGACAGACAGACGTACACACATACACACAGACAAACAGACGTAAACACCCTTAGCCCGTTATTATTAAGTCATAGATGATAGAGATCACGTCTATCACTGTTGATGATTTCTCTATCATCAACCATTGATGACTTTCCCTCATACCCGGGTGCCGTAGCTCATTAGCCACTCAACGCATGTCAGTGGTGTTCTGCAGTCCTCACTCGGCAGGTTTAAGGTGAGCTGTCTATAGGCATTCACAACTTTCCCTTTTCCTGTGACGATAGGACAACTGGAGGGTAGATTTCATTTACTGCTCACTTTTTGGGCTCTGAAGAAGGCGATTCAGCCGAAACGTAAGCCTAATAAAAGAGTTGTAACAATCTTGGTCAAGGCTTAACAATTGCACATAAGGATTGATGACTCTATATTCTGTATAGCCTTCGGAGTCCCCGTAGGCTAAATGGTGAGCTACTCACTCTCGAGTATATAATCACTCAAGAGTGAGTGGTACCCGTGCGCCAGGAGTGTAGCCAATCGGCGGCATCTCCTTTTAAGCACCAACTCGTGGACACTGTACCCTGTATTCGGTTCAGCTCCGTCTTCCTTCGTATATATATACCAGTGCGTCACCTCTGCTTCGCAGAGGCTCGCAATTGCTCTACTATCTATGTGCCTTACTCATTCTCGTAAAATCGTGACACTGGAACTCACCGTGCTATGCCGACTACCACGAATGAAATGTAAACAAACTACTCATTTAGAAAGCTTTTTCACGTGAGATCGGTGATTTCGCATGGAAAAAACTTTTCGCAGGAAGACAAATGCAAATTTGAATAGGTTTTTGAATTTGTCGTGGTTTGATAGTCGCCATAAAGACAATAGTCACCGTGAGCTACATCTCTGTGCGAAAATCTTCTCAAATGCTTTTTAGAACCTTGGCAAATTGACCATTTACGCAAGCAATACTTTTTGGCGCCGTTTTTGTAAAGTAATGGACTTTTGGTCACTTATTTGGGCCTAAGTTCATGGCTTGCACATTTACTTCCCATAAACACCCACCATTCTGCAAAAAGTGGAATTACGGACCCAATTTTGTGGGCCAAATGCAAAGCGGATCCCTTTGAAGCGCAATTTTCAAAAGACTACCCAACGAATCTGCTTGTTCTTTTGCATGTCGGACTTTCATACCAGTAGCAAGTGCTATGCAAAATTTGAGCCCAGGACGTTGGCTGGAACACGCTCTACGAATTTCGTGACAGACAGACATTCAGACACACACACACACACACACAAAACACGTAAACACTCTTAGCGCGTTATTATAGTAGGATAAGAAGCCTCCGAATGTATTAGAGGTTGCTCCCCGGTCCACACCGGGACACCTCGTAATCGCTCTCAACTAATCTACGCCAGTGTGAATAAACGTTCCACACAACTTCGTCCACCCTACTTCACTTGGTACACACCAAATTGGTGCATCGTCCAGTGAACTTCCTTACATTTCCCCTCGGAAACCAAGGCCTACAAAACCCGCGTGGCAGGGCACTGAATAATGAACCTCTCGTTGCGCGTTCTTTTTGTAAGAGACCCGAGAGTAGTAAAAAAAACATTGTTGAGCAACACCACTGAATATTGACACCCTCCCGAGGGCTAAAGAAAACAGTTGGTTCCACAACTTCTCTGCAAATTGAACCTCTTTCGCGAGCTCTTTTCGTAAGAGATCAGAGTGTAGTAAAGGACCAGCTGGCAGGTAACACTATTGAATATTAAACCTCTCGTTGCGCGCTCTTTTCATAAGAGACCCGAGAGCAGTAAAGAATAGTCGGTGTAAAACTCCACTGCAAATTGAATTTCTTTTGTGAGCTCTTTTCTAAAGAGACCAGAGGGTAGTAAAGGACCAGCTGGCAGTAGCTAATCACTTAATTTCTGAGAACTTCCTTTGCGCGCTCTTTTCGTAAGAGATCAGGGATTGGGTAGAATTTTGTTTAGCAAAACACCACCACAATTTGTGAAACTCTTTTCGCGCTCCTTTTCGTAAGGAACCAGAGAGTGAATCAGTTTGTGTGTGCACTTCCAATCTCACTCATCTCTTCGCGAGTCCTGCAAAGGAACCAGAGTTAGAAAAAAGAGATTTCAACGGAAGAGAGAACAAGTCAAGAACCAAAATTCTTACTTGTTAAGCTTCGAAGTTCCACCAAGAACTCAAGCTCTCAATCCTTACGGTACAGGTTCAACACACCTTACCGTACAGCACAGCGTTTAAGCCAACTAGGCACGCTTGCTGACAGCTAGTAGAAGCTCGGCACTCAATTGCCGGCTCACTAAACGACTTCCTCGCATCTCTCAAGGACAGTTGTCATAAAAGATCAGCCCTGCTGAAAACACAGAAGCTATAGCAAAACAGCTTTCTGTGAATTGGAAAGAAGATAAAAGAAGACACAAGGGCCCGTAGTAATCCACCCTATCAGGCATATCTTGCCGTCAGCTCGCCCTGACGTCGACCTGAGGTCGCCAGGATTTTTAGACTGGCTACGGAGACAACCAAATCAGACAAATCGCCTATTTTTTGGTGTGATAGTTTAGTTTTACTATCAAAATAATATGAGAATTGAAAGAAAATCCAAAAAATGTCCTCGTTTGCATGTTATTGGGCTCAAATTCTGAACCTGCCGGCAGGTTCACGATCTATTTTTGTCGAAATTTGAGATGCCATCTCGCCCTCAACCTGCCGGCATCTCGCCCGCAGGTCAGAGAGTATACAAAATAGTGTGTATTTTTTGGAGTGCAACCTGCCGGCATCTCGTCGTGCCCCTACCACGTCGAGATGCCAGCAGGTTCTTGACATATGCATATTGCAAATTGTTTTTAATGCGGTTTTTCAGTGTTTTTTCTTTTTTCTGTTCTGAATTGAAGCATGTTTACATATGTACAACAGATTGAAAATGTTGAATAACAGCGCAACAGGAAGTTGTGCTGCTTATCTTCAAGAAAAATACTCTTGAAGCGTTCATTTCAAATTTTTTTAAAGCATGAATGCTTTATTCATTTTCTCTCCTTTATGTTTGGTAGATTTCATTATCACGCAGTTCTCATCAAAAAACAACCCTCTGTTTTCTTCCTCAGTAACACAAAATGTTTTTCGTCAATTGTGTCTTCCACGCGATATACTCACCTTACTGTTCATGTTTTCAGAAGTACATATCTATGTATCTAACTATGTATATGGTGGTGTATGATGGTTTTTTTTGTGTGTTTACCGTATGTGGGAGCAACCATGCTTACAAAACGTGAGGAGGATACTCGGCAAATCGGCGCTATTCCGCTATCCGGGCCCCAGAATTTTTTTTTGCCATGGATTTCGCTCAAACTCGGGCCAGGGGGATTATCTGACATGCTGATCACGAATATCACATTTTCTCCGCAGGAAAACGCCTCCCTTTAGGGTTACGGAAGGTATACGGTAAGGGGTCAAAATCGTAGATTTCGCTGAAACTTGGCTCAGGGGGTTGTCTGGCATGCTGATGCCAAATATCACTGTGGTTTTGAACCGTAGCGTCATTTTCTCAAGTTACGATAGTACGCGGTGGGTGTAAGAAATAGGTTTGTCTGAAACGAGTGTACGGCGATTCGGACAATCGTGAAGCTTTGCACACACGACCACCGCCGCGCGCTACACACCCTGCTGCGGCTTTTGCCTAAGCAAAGCACAGGGGAAAGATACATTTGTCGAATTGTGATTTCGACCCCTAGCGTAAACCTACCGTAATCATGCAGGGAGACGTTTTCGTGCAGAGAAAGTGTGACATTTCCAATCAGCATCGAATAACCCCTCTGTGCGAAGTTACAGCGGATTTTGAGATTTTGACCCCCTACCGTATACCCATCTTAACCCGACAAGACGACGCTACGGTACAAAAGCAATGTGATATTCAGCAAAATCAGCGGCCCGAATAACCCCCCTACACCGATTTTGAGCGAAATCCACGATTTTGACCCCCTACCGCATGCCTACCGTAACCCTGCAGGGAGGCGTTTTCCTGCCCAGAAAATGTGATACTCGTGATCAGCATGTCAGCTAATCCCCCTGCTTCGAGTTTGAGCGAAATCTGTGCCAAAAAAATTTTCAGGCCCGGATAGCGGAATAGCGCCAAAAAAATCCTATGGAGGTCTGTAGTGGAGTCTTTCAGACATGTCGAATGTTGTTTTATTGGAAATCCGTTGGAAATGTTCAAAGGTTCGGGAGAGAAGTGCGAGACATCTTTGCGCTAATACCTGAACTTTATCGCTTCTATGTATCTGTGAGTTATATGCTTGTTACTTGAGTGATCGTACTTGTTATAGTAAAATTCTTCTCGAAATGCAAGGCTTTTAGGTTGACCCATGGTGGCTGTTTCTTGGACCTTCAACTATAACTACCGTTAACCGCTTGTAAGGATGCGCTACCCACCTCTGCACTTGCAACCAAGGAAGAAAAGCCCAATCGGAAGAACTTCCGCTTCCTAGGTAAACTGTTGAAAGATACGTACCAAACTTGATTGTTCTGGGAGTAAACGTACAAATGTTTATTCTTCCTTTATGTCAGGACATGCATGCTTAGCATGCAACTTGCTAGTAGAAAGCTAATGGCAAATAGTGCTTGGTCACTGTTCAGCTCATTCCGCAATCACAGATCAGTACGCTTTGCTTTTATGTTTTTGATTTTAGTGAAAAAATTGGAATTTTTGTGTTTCTTGCTTTTTAAAGCACAGTGTTCGACCAAGGTTGTTGTGATTAGTATTTTCGCGCAAAAATGTGTCAAAAATTTGATCGAGTTTTCTATTTAGGTTTCGAGTAGAAGAACTCAGCACATACGAGAACGATGAACCGCTATGCACAATGGAGGAATGTAGGCATCTTTTTCTATGACTTTGCGTTCTATTGTATCACAAACTTGGTCGTCACTGCCTTTGTTCGCTTTTTCTTTCTTACATTCGGCTTTTGAGAAAGTGAGCATGTTTGATTTCACGTCTAGATTACCTCAGGACCTTGCTATTATGCAGCAGCGCCTCATTTTCGCGTGGTCCTATGTGAAGCTTAGGCCGCGTCTGCGGACGTTCATCTGGGGCCTCGGGCAGGGTTCATGCGATTTCATCGTCGCGACTGGTCGCGACAAGACAACTGTAACAATATGATTGCATGCCGTTCTTGTATTTCGGTTGTGATAATTAGTCACGACTAGTCGTGTTGCAAAACATAACCGAAATACAAGAAGATCGGCATGCAATGACATTTCAAGGAGCTCTGTCCGAGGCCTAAGGGTGCCTTCATACCGCGTCGCAGCCGCCAGCAGCCCGTAGTCGCTGCTGGCCGCTTTTGTCTAGAGGCGCAAAATCGCCAAGTTCTTACTATACTTTGAGTGTTTCTGCCCGTGCTTTCCATCTTCCACGCTTGTTTGTTCCTATCGCTATGTGCAGTTGGGCTCTCAGACAGAATATCCAAGATAAGCCCTGATAGCCAAAGAAATGACTGAAGCAGAGCCATACTTAGAAAACAAGCAGATAGCACACCTGCAGAAATTGGACGCATCTAAAGTCGGAAAAAATCACATCTAGAAGAAACTTTGGCGAACTGTGGCTCAATTGCGAAAGGGAAACTGAGCACCATTAAGATAACCAATCTAAGGCAACAAGATAATAACAACAAGACACAAGTTTGCTATATGAGATCGAATTGCATACGGCGACAACAGGAAAGAAAAAGCGTGGAGGACGAAAAGCGTGGGCGGGTGCACTCAAAGTGGTAAGAATTTCAAGATTTTGCGCTTCTATGACGAAAGCGCGGCGGCTGCGTGCTGCTAGCGGCTGTCACTGGCTGCTACGGGCTGCTAGCGGCGGTTGTCGGCGCGGTATGAAGGCATCCTAAGCGTCTTCCCAAGTTCAGAGAGCGCCGAATTTATTTGCTGAGTCTTTTACCGTTTACGGTTGGCCGGTTCGCTCATAACAAATCAAGAAGTGATCAAGCGAGTGAGTCTCGCGCTTGCTTTGAAATGCGATCGGCTCATTCATCTAAAACGCATGGAGACAAGTCTGCAGACCTGGGGTAGGTTCGAGGGCCGCGCGGACCGAGCAGAACTCATTGAGACAGCTTAATAATGGCTGGCCATGCCGTTTCCCTTAAATTTTTTGAAAATTTTGTAGATGTTGCTCATTGGGTTTCTTGCATGTGAGTGTCATGCTTTTCAGACCTGGAAGTACTGCTCAATAATTTTTCAAAAAGAATTTTTCTAAATCTGATTTCTTTCTCTGTTTCCAGATTCTCCGCACATGTTTCCCGAGCAAGAGGTTGAAGGAGTTTCCAGGAGGGGTCCAAATCCGGACAACAATCGAGGTTTGGAGTTCCTCGCCGTGCACACTGCACTTTTATTTCTTAACGAGTTTCGATTGATACATATATGCAGCTTTTTCTTCAAAAATTTATCATTACTCTTCGTACAATCACACATGTATTCGTTGTCGCACGAACTGGCCTGCCGAGCGCGCGAGGCATGGCTGGAGTGTTAACAAGCGCAGTGTTTATGATTGCAAGGTTGAGTTACCTTGTCGGATCTTCCACGTTACTTTCGGGTTAGACTCAGACGCTGTGAGTTTAAGTCTCTCGTGTGTTTGCACATTTAAGAAACAACAAGATCATATGCGGGGAGATTCACTTGCTTTTTTCGTCTGTATCTCTGCAATGTCGAGATTAAATATCTTTTGAGCGAATTCAATTGCTCAGTTCCGTATTTATACACGTCGGGCTCGCGTACTCCGCAATAATGGCCAGTCCGTGCGGTTGATGACTCGAGGAAAGCTCGGTCCTTGGCTTTTCTGCGGTTCCTGTTAGATGTATCTCAGTGATATAAGCAGACAGTTATCCGCATTTGAAGCAGACAATTATCCGTTTGAATGAATTCGTCGTTGTCAGCATCGCCTTCCTAGATGCTTTTCGATAAATAGTTGCAATGTTGGGTTTTTGTTGTTTTGCTACTGCTATTGCTTGTTATTGCTTAAAAAAATTGGCTCGTTTGGGCTTTGCTCCCAGCTGATATGGCTGTCGCAATCTGGCAGCGCTATAGTGTGATGTTTGCTAGCAACTGTGTTCAATTGGCTCGGTAGCATTACGCCAAAAGGGCATTACCAGTAAATCACCCTTACCTTCTACCTTAGAGGGCACTGCGAGCCGTGAGGTATACTAAAGTTTTGTAGTGATTGCTCATTTCCAAACAACGATGATCATGTTTCTAAAGGATGTTCGTCGACGACTGCCCCAACTAGTGCAATTACACTACCGCGGCCGTGGTTTTTTTGGAGCCTTTCCAGCTTGACAGTAGGACAGAACAGGGAAAGGACAGGGATGCTGCGAGCTACCAAATCCCCGCGCGCTGCAGCGTACTGTCAAGCTGGAAAGGCCCCAATAAGCGCATGCCCAAGGTGGTGTAATTGCACGAGTCGGGGCTCTTTCATCGTGGGAACTTCTACGCGCATGTTTCGCTTACATCAGTCGCCTTCGTCTCGGACTAGCATTTGCGTCAAATCCCACAGGATTGCAGTTTATGGAGAGCTGAGCTTTTTTGAATGGAAGTGCTTTGGAGTTGCTTATATTGTTAGCGAAAAGGCTAATGTGTTCTCTTCAGTTCTTGACAGAAACGCAATGACCTGGGGCAGGATGTCCGTCTACACATGTGAAGGAAGATAAGCATCTTCTTTTATCAGTTTGTTTTTTGAACTAGAAGAGGTGCTAGCTTTTTTGCTTCACATTATGTTGAAAATGAGTTCACTCATATTATTCATGATTGAGACTAGTCTGATGAAGTACCGTTTGCTTAGCGCTTGGGCACTCGCGGCTGCATCCCCTCGCATGGAGCTTGTCTCGCATCTGCGGACGTAGCCTCTAGGCATTTTCCAAACCGAAAGGCGATTGAAATATGGTAGGCGTGGGAAAATGCATCGAGATGTTCACGGATGGGCAATCTTCAGGCGAGACGGTCGCGCAGACCCGAGCTTCTTGCGCAAACGACCCGCCTTGAGGATAGCCTACAGCGCATTTTTTAGGTCTTCTCTAGGTGGGGTCATACTTCGTTTTGTTATCGCAAAAGCGATGCCGAATCAGCGATGTCGAATTGTGGCTCCTTTCCAGCGAGATGACTACTTGAACAAAATGAGGTCCTTTTTTATTACGCAGTTTCGATTTCAAATCAACATTTCTCATAGTTCTGTGCCGATATTTTCTCCATATTTTTTAACTGTGTAACATATAACGTGGAGGTTCGTAAAGATTGTGGGTCGCATCTGTAAGAAACGCCTCACATTATATCGTTCCAGAGCATGTAGGGTTTCTTTCGGGATCCGTCGTACTTCGCCGAGAAAAGTCCAAAAGCGCTCAAAGAAGCCCAAAAAGCCCGAAAGCGCTAGAAAGAGCCGGAACGCAGAAACGAAGTTTTGTTAGGATTTTGACATTATTTTGATGTGCAGACGGCAGAAAATCAACTAGAAGACCGGCTGCAGTCAACACATGCCTTAGCGTCAAAACTTGCAAGGGGCGTTGCGGCTCTTTCTGGCTCTTTTAGGCTTTTAGGGCTTTTCGGGCTTTTTTCGGCTTTTTTGGGCTTTTTCGGCTTCTTCGGGCTCTTTTGGGCTTTTTTCGGCGAAGTATGACGGGTCCTTAAGGCTTCAGGCAGAGTACATGCGATTTCATTTTCCTCTAGCTAACTAGCTATGTAGCTAGCTTAGCAGTCCACAGTGCGATTGAATGAACATGTTCAAGCAAGTTGACTGCCAAGCTTGATTACATCCTTTGGACTAGCGTGTAATGTACACGTGTAGTTCAATAACTAACCTGCTGACTCTCGTTGGCCAGAGAAGAGTTCTATCCCATCAGGTGCAGTGGTTTTGCGATCAATCTTACATTGCCTAATGGTATCAGGAAACCGCAGCTCACGGCCAGAACGTGAGCCTGTCGTGAGGTTCGCGAGCTCGCCGTCATGTCTTATGCCAACATGCGGGGTGGATTACTACGGGCCAAGGAGTATCAATACATGACGTCACTCCAACTTTTCAAGATCAGGATCAACAACGCCTGCAAACTGGTGAAATCCCACGGTCACAAATCGACACTATTGATGTTCCCTTCACATTCCCCACACTGAAAGATGAATGTGAGCAGTACATAAAAGAGAAAACGGGATTGATAACCAATCTTCTCAACTCTCTACAAAACGCTGTGAAGCTTCAAGAGACGCTGATTAACTCCGCAATCGAGTACATCAGCGCACGAAATGAGGAAAAAGAAGGAGACAAATTGATGATGGAGCTCAGCAAGCACTTAGAACTGGAATCACTTGATCTAGAAGTGACTGTAGTGCAATGACGAACAAGGATAGAATAAGAACAAGGCGCACTCCTGCACTGTGATGCTCCAAGCGTACCGAGTCAACCAAGCAGTGATAATGGACGAGCTTGGATTCCGGAACGCAACGAAAGGCAGATCAAAATACGAAAACCTCTGCTCAAAATCCCTACGTTTTCCCGAATTTTCAGAGAGTTCAACAGCTTCTGGACAGTCTTCGAATCACTTATCCACGCCGACGAGGAGCTATCCGACACGGACAAGTTCTTTTTTCTGAAACAAGCCTTGAAGGGAAAAGCAGCAGACACTCTGAGCAGCATTCCCGTCGTTAGAGAAAGATATTAGACAGCGATGAATGTCTTGAAAAAACATTTCGATCGCTTTGCCAACATGGCAGACAAATCATCAACGAGATCGAAAAACCACCCAAGGTCTCAGATGATCCGAAAGATTGCCGTGACACCTTTGAAGCAATCAACTCAAGGATTATCCACTTGGACGCTTGCGTTTATGTGGACAACCACATCCGCCTTATACCTGCCAGAGATACACCACTCCAAAAGCTCGGCGACGTGAAGCGACAAACCAAGGAGCGTGCTGGAGATGTTTTGCAAGAAACCAAAACTCGAATGCTTGTGCTAATATTGGAGTATGTCCTAACTGTAAGGGATCACACCACAGATTTCTTTGCATGCCAGAAGGAAGACAGCGCAGTGGATTCTTCGCACATTCCCGCGATCCTGCAGTAGACAATCATCAACATCCACCTCCTTGGACACAACGTAACATCAATCAGGATTGTCGCGAGACCAGTAACATGCACGTCGAACAAAGCTCGCACAATAAGCAAGGAATCCACATCTCAGACGTACTTCCGCTTGTCAACAATTAATGCGTTCTTCAAATCGCCTTAGCATTGATTTTCAACGAAGCAGAGTGGGATTATCAACCAACTTCTATGCTCCTTGAAGCTTCCAGTCCTTCAAACTACTTTGTTCACTACGTCTGGAATGGGCGAACACCAAGAGCAATTCAACTCATCTGAAGTGCAGATCACCTTAAAAAGTCTTCACAGCTCCGAGAAGCGCAAGAAGTTATCACTGCATACCAAGCAGAAGCTGACTACTGAAATGCAGACGGCAACTCTCACGGAAGCAGACTTGCGTTTTATCACTGATGAGAAGCTGATCATCGCTCAAGATACGCTTTCCCACAAAAGCGTTTCACCGGATCTGATCATAGGACAAGATCTGCTCAACCTCGTCATTCTGCACAAGGATGCGCAAGCTTCCTCCAGGCCTCGTTCTGACGCCAACCATCTTCGGATACGTTATATCTGGAACAAGCCGCGCCACTACTACAACTACAAGGTTCATCGGAGCTTTCGGCTGCATATCAACGCTACATGGAACAAAACCACAGCAGCTCCCTTCATCCAAAAGAAGACAATCCAGAAAAAAGCCGACGCTTGGAGCTTCCATCTTCAATGAAGCTCAAGCAGACAGACAACATTGGCTGAACACAATCCGTTTCCTAACAAACTCTTCCGACAGCTCTGTGATGATGTCGAATGGAATGACCACCACGTCGTCGTATCTTAGGAAACAAGCAGAGACAAGGATGACGAAGACAACTTCTGTCATGGGCAGACATGACAGAAGTTCACACCTTATCAAAACGACGCCTACTGAGAAGATGACCGTCAATCATCAAACGTCTTCTACTATCAATTCAAAATCAGCGAGGAGGATAAAGCGACGACGACGAGCAACGCCAAAAACGAAATTCGCCTCCATCAACCATCTCAACTGATTATACCATTGTGCATCACCTGAATTGAATTAATTTCGAGTGAATGTCTACATTACTTGCAGCTCTTATTCATAGATCATTATTTTGCATGTATAGGTTTCATTAACCTGCTAGTCAACTTTACATATGTCTAAACTTATCAAGACTTACCAGATCTCACTTTCCTCTAGCTCGCCCAGAGTGTTGATGATTTCTGTATCATCAACCATTGATGAACTCTATATTCTGCATAGCCTACGGAGTCCCCGTAGGCTAAATGGTGAGCTACTCACTCTTGGGTATCATCACTCAAGAGTGAGTGGTACCCGTGCGCCAGGAGTGTAGCCAGTCGGCGGCATCTTTTAAAGGCACCGTCCACCCAAAATCTCGAATTCAATGTTTTTGTCGCCTTCGGGTCTTCTGAAACCCCTGATTCCGAATATGGAGTCGAAAATCCGCGAAACCCCCAACAATCCCTGTTTCAACCCACTGCAACAAGCGCAAGCGAGATAAAGCATGCAAGTGGGCGGGGCGACCAGGGTCGCTCCGCCTACTTTGCTACTTCCGGAGCGGATTTCTCGCTCGAGAAGCAGTCTTTTACGGCGAAGCTTGGGGGTTTGCCCAATGTGGGGCGCACACTAGTATGCCATCATAATCTCGCCAACCTCCATTTTGGGTGGACGGTGCCTTTAAGCACCAACTCGTGTACTTTGCACCCTGTATTCGGCTCAGCTCCGCCTTCCTTCGTATATGTGGAGCCTCCGAATTTATTAGAGGTTGCTCCCCGGTCCACACCGGGACACCTCGTAATCGCTCTCAACTAATTTACGCCAGTGTGAATAAACGTTCCACACAACTTCGTCCACCCTACTTCACTTGGTACACACCAAAATCACATTCACCTTCAATTACAACCACTGCGACTTCGTTGACGGTGGGAGAATTAAAACGCCTTTCATGTTCATTACTCGGCCTTTCGTCTGCATGAATGACTACTTTATATTCATCTGTAGGCATTCTTCCAACGCCGTTTTGAACAGATTCACCAAATTATTGCATTGTTGTAACATTCTTTGTATACTGAGGACAATAGTGTTCTTCGTCCCCGGTATAATCGTATATCTGTGGCTGGACTGCAACTGCTCGTCAGTCATAGATTAAAGCTGGAGAAACCTGGGATTTTTGTTGATTGTGGGTAGCAATACTAGCAATACGTAGCAATACGACCCGGTCTTGTGATAAACTTGACCTTGTACTTTAAAAGTAGGCATGAAACTCATTGACAGATACGGTACATCCAAACGACGTCATTTGGAAACATGCGTTGTATTTTCTGATGTTTTGAAGGAAGTGTTTGGATTCTGCTGTCATGCCTTCCATGTATGAAAGCAGCGGCTGAAAAGGATCTTCTATGGGTGGTAGCTGGACCTTACCATGCGAACAGCACATCCCAGGTGCTTCCGCTGCAAACTTTTTTGCGTGACAGTAACAAACCACACCCCTTTCTCCAATGACCACTTTCGGATGAAGAAAATAGTCTTGGTTGGGAGCATAATTGA